CATGGAATTTAGGAGGACACAAACTAGCAGTCAGCAGAATAACTCTCTCATCTTTGGAAATGTCAGGATCATAAAGTCAGATTGAGAAACTTCTCAATGAAGAAAACTAAAGAGTTATAATGAATAAATGCAGTATAAGATTCTGAACTCTGGTTCCTTTCACTCTAGAGGACATTGTTTGGACACTGATCAAATTTTAAGGGAGTCTGAATTAGGTGGTTATAATGCATCGGTGGTGATTTCTGATTTTTGGTTGTATTGTGGTTATATAGGGGAATGCCCTTGTTTGTAGGAAACACATAGTAAAGTACTCAGAGTTGATGGAATATAATGGAGGTAGCTTACTCATTTGGTTCAGGAAAAAGAGCTCTTTATACTGAACTTGCCACTTGCTTTTGATCGTTTGAAAGTATAAAAAAGTTAATAAAATTATAGTCTAGTTATAAAAAGCCAGGTTTATTTTTCAGTAATGTTTATACCTTATTTGTTACATGTAAGTAGAGGATGTTTGTTTTTACGAGTTAGACATAAACTATGGCATCACTTCCCTTAAGAATGAAAGTAAATTATTGAGTCTTTGAGAAAATCTTGATGCAGAAAAACACAGAAAAATATGTCATGACTTTCCTTAGAACATAATAGTGAGAAAAGTGAACTTTTTTCCCCCTATAATTTCTGCTTATAGAAGGCCTGTGCTTATCTGAGTGTTGCTGTCTGCCCTTCCCTTACTAGAGGACCGTCTGCCACTGTAGTTGTCGTTTGGATTTGGAAAAGCTATGACTTCAGAATGGGAGGAAGCAAAGAAATTGAACATCTGGGCAGTTTTGTGGAAAAACGTGTGTGTGTGTGTGTGTGTGTGTGTGTGTGTGTGTGTGTGTATGTGCTTTTATGTCCCAAACACTTGTGCTTTTATGTCCACTTCCATGCGTGCTTTTATGCTTTAGTTCTGGAACTGAAGTTTGTTTGCCCCTTTCAAACCTGCACCCTCTATCAAAGTGCTATTTGATCTGGAGATTGGACATGTGTAGTTCCTCAGCCTGGAATGTCTTTCTAGCCTTCCTACTCTTCCTCTTTCACCATAAGGCTTAGGCTTTTTTCCTAATCCTAGCTTAAATGTCACTCTTAATCTCTCTAGATCCTCTCATAGGTAATTCATTTAGACATTATTGTTCTTTAACCCTTCTGTAAATGCGGATCATGATGGCACTGCTATGCATTTTAGTTGTGCAGTAATGTGACGCATGTTTCAGTGAATGAGAAGCCAAGTATGTGATGGTGGGTATATGATGGTGTCCCGTAAAATTACAGTAAGCTATGCCAAATAGCCTAGGTGTGTAACAGGCTGTACTATCTAGGTTTGTGTATGTCCACTCTGTACAGTGTTCACGCAAGAGCAAAATTACCTAACAGCAAATTTCTTAGAATGTTCCCCATTGTTAAGCAACATATGACTGTATTTACTCTTTCATTCTATGTGAGACAGAATAGTTTCTGACAAAATAGTAAGTGCTATTAATAATATGAGGTACTGTTATAATCATTATTTTATGAAACATGTTTGAAATATTTGCTTCATTATACACATTTGTGTAATATATATATATATTTTTTTTTTGAGAGGTTTTCGCTACTGGGCATGTGTGCTTGCCAGAGAGACAGAGAGAGACAGGGAGACCGAAAGACAAAAAACACCCCCCAGGGGGAGTGGCCACGCCACCGCCTCCGTGTCCCTCTCGCGCTCTCGGGCTCACGCACACACACACACACACACACACACACACACTGGTGTGAGTTTAAGCCACCAGGTCCAGGACTTGAACCATGATCTACTACATGGGAGTCCAGCGACATCGCCATTATGCCAACTGCTGGTCCTACACATTTGTATAATTTTGAAAAATATTTATCATGTGGGAACCAGCAGTTAGCGTAATGGCTATGTTGCTGGACTCCCACATAGTCGGCCACGGTTCGCATCCCAGACCCCGTGGCTTAAAACTCACGCCGGGCGCATGTGCGTGCGTGCCCAAGATCCCGAGAGGAGAATAGAGGAGAAGGGATTGCGGCGTGACCATCCCCCCTGGGGGGTGATTTCTCTCTTTCTGTCTCTCTGTCTCTCTCTCTGTCTGTCTGGCGAGCGCACGCACCCTATAGTGAAAAAAACTCTCGTATTAATTATCACGTAAGGTTAGTTCTATGAGGAAGAGGACTTTTTTATTCACCTATATTCCTTAATATTTGGCACATGTACTACTTAAATAATTTTGCTGATGGATAAAATGGCGGTTTGCAATAGTGGGTTGGTCAAGCTGACTAATTTTGACTATGAGTAGATAACAAGCTTACTTGTTTTCTCTCTCTCTCTCTCTTTTTTTTTTTGAGAGGTTTTTGCTATAGGGCGCATGCGCTTGCCAGAAAAACAGAGACAGAAAGTAAGAAATCATCCCCCAGGGGGACTGGCCATGCCGCAGTCCCTTCTCCTCCATTCTCTTCTTGTGATCTTGGGCACATACGCACATGCACACGCACCCACTGTGAGTTTAAGCCACCAGGTTCAGTACTTGAACTGCAGTCGATTACATGGGAGTCCTGCGACATAGCCATTACACCAACTGCTGGTCTCACAAACTTACTTGTTCTTATAGATGAAGTTACTCAACCCTTTAAGGTCTTTAGGTTTCTTTCTTTCTTTTCTTTTTTTTTTTTTGAGAGATTTTTTTCTATAGGGCGCGTGCACCAGCTAGACAGAGACAGAGAGACAGAAAGCGAGAAATCACCCCCCAGGGGGGATGGCCATGCCGCCAACCCTTCTCCTCTATTCTCCTCTCGGGATCTTGGGCATGCATGCCCATGCGCCTGGCATGAGTTTTAAGCCGCCGGGTCCAAGATGCGTACCGCAGTTGACTACATGGGAGTCCAGCAACATAGTCATTACGCTAACTGCTGGTTCCAGGTCTTCAGGTTTCTCAACTGTAAAATGAGCTTAGTAGGATGCGTATTAGATAAAATGTACATAAAGACCTATCATTTTATTGATAATCAGTAAATATTAAAGTTATTAAAGTATGGCTAACAATACCAGTATTAAAAAATAGAAGTATTTTTAGTAAAAGTTTAAATTAAATAATATAAATGAAAATGTCTGGTGAAAATCCTGAACACAATTGTTAGCACTCATTTTAACTTTTTCTAATAATAATTATAAATAGATCAGGAAGTGTATACTGATTCTTTAGATTATTATTGTTATATATAATATTATAATGTGTTATTATAAGTGTTATTAGGTAGGGTTTTTCTTCCCATTAAGCAAATTAAGGCTTAGAGAAGCCACATAATTTATTCAATGACTAGGTTGTGTGTGTGTGTGTGTGTGTGTGTATTTTAGGATTTTTTGCTATAGGGTGCATGGGCTTGCTGGGGAGATACAGAGAGGCAGAGAGACAGAAAGCAAGAAATCACACCCCAGTGGGGATGACCATGCCACAGTCCCTTCTCCCCTGTTCTCCTCTTGGGATTCTGAGCATACATGCACACGCGACGGGCATGAGTCTTAAGCCGCTGGGTTTGGAACTTGTACCACAGTCGACTATGTGGGAGTGCAGTGACATAACCAGGTCTCCAAGGACATAGATGTTTAAATTCATATTTAGTTCTTAAGCCCTTATTCTTATTTTTATTTTTGGCTAGAGATGATGTGGAGATTACCAGATGTTCTTTTACAATGCACTTGGTGATAGTAGCAACTATGAAATTGTGATTTCAGTCAGCTGCTTTTAATAACCTATCTGGGGAACCAGCAGTTAGCGTAATGGCTATGTTGCTGAACTCCCATGTAGTTGACCGCGGTTCGTGTCCCGGACCTGGTGGCTTAAAACTCATGCCAGGTGCATGCGTGTGCATGCCCAAGATCCTGAGAGGAGAATGGAGGAGAAGGGATTGTGGCGTAACCATCCCCCCTGGGGGGTGATTTCTCGCTTTCTGTCTCTATGTCTCTCTCTGTCTTTCTGGCGAGCGCCCTATAGCAAAGAAACCTCTCAAAAAAAATAATAAAAAAAAATTAAAAAGAACCTATCTGAGATCTGTTACATGAAAGAATGAACATATTGGTAATAAGTCACTGGAATACTTTTAGTAGTATAGAGACCCTAGTGGATTGTGACTTTGGTAGTTGTGACCAGTAAGAGCCCTAAAACCTGTTGAAAGCAGGAGGAGAGCAAAAGGAATAGAGAAAAACAATTACTTTCTTTCATGCAATCTTCTTTTGTGCAATCTTATACTTTCTTCTTTCATGCAATCTTCTTTTGTGCAATCTTCTGATCCTAAGCTAATCTGTTATTAAAAACATAACTGTTTATTGGATGAATACATTATCATTTCAGAAGATTAAACAGGCTCAGTTACAGTGATGCACAGGTTGCACCACTGTTTTGGAGGCTGGAAGCCTTATTGGGGTGCAGTGGGTTCAGTTCCTGGGATAACCTGAACATGACTGCTACTATCTGTCATCTTAGCTAATTGGGAGGCTAATGCGGGAGGATCGCAATACACTGAGATGTTGGGAAAAATACCTGGCAGATGGCGTAGTGGTTACATTGCTGGACTCCCCAGTGGTTGACTGCAGTTCAAGTCCCAGACCCGATAACTTAAAACTCACACCAGGCACGTGTGCATGTGTGCCCAAAATCCCAAGAGGAGAGTGGAGGAGAAGGGATTGTGGCTTGGCTACCCTCCGGGGGTGATTTCTCCTTTCTGTCTCTGTGTCTCTCTGGTGAGCACACACATTGTATAGCAAGAATCTCCCCTGCCAAGGAAAATAATAAACCCCTATCTCTTCTATCCTCTTTCTCTCATAAAGGGGAAACATATGCAAATAGTCATTATTAAGGTTATATTATTTTGAATTATTCTATTTTTCTGTAAATTTTTCTATTGTGGTTAAACTTGTATAAGGTGAAAAATCTGTTAAAATATGAATGGGAATATGATCTGTATTTCAGAAACTCTGTAGTGATGCTCAAGTTAAAGTCTTTGGGAAATGCTGCCAACTGAAACCTGGTGGAGACAGTTCTTCCTCTTTGGACAGTTCTGTGACTTCATCTTCTGATTTAAAAGACCAGTGTCCTAAGTACCAGGTAAGATCACGGATGTCATTTATTTCAATATTCACTTGTAAACTTTTATAAGTACCATCCTAGGGGCTGAGCTTACAATAGTGACTAATTCTTAGTAGCTGGAGAGGCAGATAATTAAACAAGTTAGTTTATGAACTTTGCTAAGTCTTTGGATAGAAGAAGTACAGAGAGCTATGGACATAGGTAGCGGGAATATTTCTTCTGTTTCTCAATTCAGATTTATTGACTATCAGATTAATTTCTTATTTTATATACCTTTTCATTATTGAAGTATGAAGATACATATAAAGTAATAATATAGTTCAGCTGTGTCGTGAAACTGAAGTATTATTGGAAGTATATGCAGTCAGAAATATAGATTTTTTATTATTCAAAAGTAACAGGGAACCAGCAGTTAGCGTAATGGCTATGTCGCTGGACTCCCACGTAGTCGACCGCGGTTCGCATCCCGGACCCGGTGGCTTAAATCTCACGCTGGGTGTGTGTGCGTGTGTGCCCAAGATCCCGAGAGGAGAATGGAGGAGAAGGGATTGCAGCGTGACCATCCCCCCGGGGGGTGATTTCTCGCTTTCTGTCTCTATGTCTCTCTCTGTCTGGCGAGCGCAC